ATGAAAAAAAGAACCTAATGAGCAGTTGATTCTTCAGTGTAGATAGCCAAATCCATTTGGAAATTCTAGTAACAAAACATTGAAGGTTCTGTCTTATGAGGTTTGGAACCATAGCTAAACATAGTTCCATTACACTTTTCTCATGTGATCCAAGATGCAAGAGTGGGATGAAACAGTTATTGCCCAGACTTCATAGTAACAGACAGTTGTTATCAGTCATAACAATTACAAAACTCTGTACAGTCAAAAGATATGTTCCAATTATGACAGGTAGTTAGCTGTGTTAGTCTGAAGTTAGGCAGAAGGCAGGGTAGATTTGCACTTTATAGACTAAGTAAATCAGAGATGCATAGCATAAGCCTTTGTAAGCAACAGGATTACTGTCTGACTGCCTTGGATGAAGTAAGCCCACTGCTTATACTTTGCATCTCTGGTTTAGTTAGTTCTATAAGAGCTCTGCTACATATTGAAATTTGAAGCTGAATAGAAAGCAACTATAGAGTTGTTACCCATTTTCAAGTACTAACTTTGTAGCTGGTTGGCTCTTTTTACAGCTGGATTTTTTTATGGTGTGATTATTACTTTGCATGTATGGCTGGTCTAAATTTATTGCACTATTAATCAGTTAACTGTGTGATTTATGGGGCAGAGCTCTACTACTACCCAGCACATCCACAGGTGGCAGATAGTGAAACAGCCTTCAGGAAAGGTTAGCTGTGAAATAAGTAGGGTAACTCTGACAAATAAATAGTTGCAGACCAAGCAATGGCAGCACCACCAGGATGTGGTGAGATCAGCAGATGGCAGTGGTTTCCCTCCTTAAAAGCCACATATATTCTTTGATGGTGCTGTGACATGTTGAGTATAGGTCGCCATTGTAATAAGTCTGCCCAGTCCCGAGTCATGGGTCTACAAGCCCTCAATAGAGAGCAGGTGGATGATGTTAGTATCTCAGTGGCTGTGATGGCAGACGAAGGCTGCAGCTGAGTGATACCTCCAGACACCTTGGTCTCCTTGCCATTAGATCAAGGTCCCGTTCTGTCAAGAGCCATGTGAAAGCTGATGTACAGCAGCTTCTCCACAGTAAAGGAAGTCATGCACAGGCATCTTCCATGAAAACAGCTTTTCCAGCATATTCTTCAAGCCCTTTGGTGACCCAGTAGCAATGGGAGAATATCAGCAGCATGTGGGGTGCCCTCAAAGCTACCATCATCAGCACCTGTGAAGAGACGCTTGGATTCTCTACCAGGAAACATCAAGACTGGTTTGATGAGAATGCCCAGGAGATCCAAGAGTTGATTGATCACAGGCACAAGGCCGCCTGTGCTTGGTAAAACAACACCAACCCCAAGCAAAAGAAATTAAATCTGAAACGAGCCAAGGCAGAGGTCCAAAGGAGGACCTGCAATATGAAGAACAAATAATGGGAAGACAAGGATAAGAAGATTCAACATCTTGCTGAAATGCATGATAAGCATGTTTTCTTCACTGTCACCAAAGCCATTGATGGTCCAAGCACCTGGGGGCTAACCCCCTTGAGACCTGAGGATGGAGAAAACCTGATCAAGGAAAGGGGAGCTATCAATGCCCATTGGAAGGAGCATTCTGAAGATCATCTCAGTTGAGACTCTGCTGTTGATGAAAGTGTTTTTAGCTCCATCCTGCAACACCCAGTCAGAGATGATCAGAATCAGAACCCCTTCAACCTTTGACGAAGTAAGGAAAGCCATCAAGCAGGTGAAAAACAACAAGGCACATGAAGTGGATGGAATCCCCACTTAAATCTTCAAACAAGGAGCCAAGGAGCTCACATCACCACTTCATGCCCTCATCTTAAGGATGTTGTCCTTAGGAATGATTAGGAAATCTACAAGACCTCAGAGATGCCATGATTGTGACAGTCTTCAAGAAGGAAAACAAGTCCAACTGTGGAAACTACAGAAGGATTACCTTGCTGTCCACCACAGAGAAGATCATTGTGAGAACCTTTGCTGAAGAGCTCCGCCTGAAATCTGTGTGGGTTTAGGGCACGCACAACTGATATAATCTTCATAGCTCACTGGCTGCAGGAGAAATGCCGGAGACAACATAAGCCTCTCTACATGGCGTTCTTTGACCTCATAAAAGCTTTTGATTGTGTCAGCTGAGAAGTGTGGTGGAGGATCCTTCTGAAGTATGGATGCCCACCAAAATTTGTCACCATTCTCTGCCTGCTCCATGATGGTATGTGAGCTGTGGTTGTCAGTAATGGATCTATCACAGATTCCTTCTAGGTTAAAATGGAAGTTAAGCAAGGCTGTCGTCGCTCCAACACACTTCTCAATATCCCATGCTGTGATGCTACATCTGACCACCAACAAGCTTCCAGCCAGAGTGGAGCTAAACTACCAAATGGGTGATAAATTGTTTAATCTCAGCTGACTGTGACCCAAAAACAAAACCACCCTGACCTCAGTCATTGCGCTCCAATACACCGATGATGCCGTAGTGTGTGCTCGCTCAATAGTCAACCTTCAGGCAATCGTTGACATCTTTACTGAGGCATACAAGAAAGGAGGACTGACGCTTAACATTCAAAGAACTAAGGTCCTCCACCAGCAAGCTCCTAATGAATCAGTCCCCAGCTCCAGTAATCCAGATCCATGGTGAGACTCTGGAGAACACTGAGTATTTCCTGTGCCTCAGAAGCCATCACTCAGGCTGATGTCAACAAAGAAATCCAGCATCGCCACAAATGTAGCCTTTGGGCACCTGAAGTGGGTGTTCGAAGATTGCAACATCCAATCTGAAACCAAGCTTATCGTTTATCAAGCAGTCACAATCCCTACCTTGCTGTATGGAGCTGAGACCTAGACAACATACAGGAGACATCTAAAGTTGCTGGAGAAGTTCCATCAATGCTGCAGGTGGGAGATCATCTGAATCTAGTGGGAAGGAAGATGCACCAATGTTAGCATCCTCCTGCAAGGAGACACCATGAGTACTGAGGTGATGATCATCCAACATAAACTTTGTTAGGCTGGCCATGTCATCTGGACGTTCCCAGACTCCCGAATCAAGTTTATACCCTCAGCTCAGCAAAGGCATAGGCTCAAGAGGAGGGCACAGAAAGTGCTTCAAGAACGTCCTAAAGGCTAACTTAAAATGCAGTATCAGTGTCAGCTCATGGGAGACTGTCACCCAGGACCACCCCAAATGGAGGAAGAGTCTGCTGCTGCTGGGATCTCTGTACTTTGAAACCTCACGACAGCAACAGGAGATGGAAAAGCAGGAATGGCAGAATTGGCATGTTGCAGACCAAATCAAGAATCCAGCGCCACCCACCCCACACAGAAACATATATGCAAGCCATAGTTGAGTCTGTCAATTCTGGATAGGCCCTATCAGCCATCTTTGGATACACAGATAAGACAATCATCCTTAACTGTGGGGGATTGCCAAAGAAGAATTGTCATAATTACTTTGCATTTGTAGCACGTCTTACTTTACATGTGTGGCCAGTCTAAATTTGTTGCATCATTAACTTGTTAATTGTGTAATATAATGTAATGTAGCAGGGGCCTAAGATACAAATCCAACCCTGCCATAATCTAACTATATTATGACTCTGCCTCAAGAAATTTAGAGTCAAAATGCACTTTTTTAGGGACCAGGGCAATCCCATGCATAGTGCAGTGGCAAGAGGGCATTAACGTTGAAATGCTTTGCAGAAGGAAGGCTTCATTTGATTCTGGTCTCCATGTCTCGGGACCTGGGGCTCAGTCTGACATAATCCAGTTGTTTCTAACTGATGATGGAACATCAGGAAAGAAGATTCCAAGGTTCCAGTTTCTCAGTGTGTTCTAGTTCCATTTTGTGTATATTCTCTGTGCTGCACGGTACTCTCTGCTGATTTTAAAAACTACTTTTATAGCAAGTAGTTTTTACTTTCTTGGTTATCCTACCCAATTTAATACACTGTGGCAATGAATCCACTGGTATGATATGTAAAGTAGCTATTCATGAAACACTTCCTCTCTCATTCGTATTTTTCACTAATGGTTATGTAGAGCATTATGAAATTGCTGTCAGAATGTCAAAGTTACTTTGTAACCTGTGTGTTAATTTAGCAGTTAGGTATGCAGGAATTATAATATAGTTCTTTGTTAAATTAATTTCTACCTGAGATTACAAAGAGTAACTTGATAAATGGAAAAGTTAGCAGCTTCTAACAGATTAATTTGCATTGTGATAGAAAACGCAGATTTCTTGACTGCAGCGCTAGTCTGTTAATTGGAAATAGAGTTACACAGCATTCAGAGTTTTCTATTACTAGATCATGGGAGTGATTATAGCACATCTGGACAATCCCTGCACTAAAGAGGCTCTATTTATTTAAAGCCTCTAAGGAACTGTCTTGCATAGGAAAAGCAGTAGCATTAGGTCAGGCTTAGTGAACGTGTGCTAGCTAAGTTTAGCCCTTTTTCTTAGCCTAGATACAAGGTAGCACCCCTCGCTGGATTTTTTTTAACCAATTAAGTGGCAGTGTAGGCAAGAATCTAAGGTGCAAGTCACCCAATTAAATCAACTTCCTGTTTAAGTTGTGCATCAAGAGAAAGGTCTTCCACTGCGTTGAGCCTAGTAAAAAAAGGACAGGCTTAACTAACAAATTTAAGCACATGTAGACATGCCCATACACTGGTTTAAAAATGGTGGAACCTGCTCTAACATTTGCTTCCCCCCTCCCCACCCACCGCAACGAAAGTGTGAGTGTATGTTAGATTGGCAAATTACCAATCTAAACTGCATCACTTACAGAAAACTGCGTAACTTAGATCAATTCTGCCTCAGACTTTTTGAATGTCTGTACCTAGCCTTTAAGCCTACAAAACCTTGCCCATTCTTTCTAGTCAAGGTAAAGCCCCACATGTTGCAGGTATTGTGTGTGTTTTCTTGGATTTGACAATGGGATATTGTTATACAGTGCATTTATGTACAAACTGTTATCTCATTTGCAACAGGTTCATGATCAAAAGAGCCCAAGGTAGAAAACGCTTTGGTATGAAAAACTTTAAGAAGAGATGGTTCCGCTTGACTAACCATGAATTTACCTATCAGAAAAGTAAAGGTAACAAAGGTTTGCCTCTCCACTTTCTAACTTTGTGTTGATAAAAGCAGGGATTAAAAGGTAAATGATTGGTTAGAATTGAAAGAATACTATTGAAAGTTTCATCATAAACTACTACTTACAGTATATTTAAAAAGAAAGTTTCTTCCTGTGTGTGTGCAGCTATAGAAAATAGTTTGTGCATTGTATTTGAGCAGATACAGTGAATTTAAGGTCACATTCCCCTTCACTTCCCTTTCTCTCTGTTCTTAATATCAGTCATTTGATAAAGGGCAGATGCAGTGAACTGAACTGTATGAATTAAAGTCAAGACAGCAAACTCATCCAGTTCCATGGGTTGGATGAGTGGTACAGGGTCCATACATGGACTGAATTGTACCCACAGGCCAGCCCTGCATGCTAGATCTACCATGTGTCCTGGAGTGGGTGCCATATATTGCAAGGTCCTGCTGTGAATGCTCCAAGGCTGTGCTGCATATGGTGGGCTCCACCACTCCAAGACAAGCTGGAGTGAGCGCTGTATATGGAGCCATCCAGGATACCCCACATGCTGCCTGTGAGTGAACTCTGAGACACACGGGCAGCACCGGGGGCTGGATGATAGGGCTTAATGGGCCAAATCCAAGCTGCAGGCCATATCTGTGACACCTCTGCATTAAAGCACTGTGCTTGTTGGGGTACATTTATTGATTAAATCGCTAAAGTATCTTCTCTGTTAACATGCGCTGTGTGTATGTGCACTTGTGTAACAGACCACTTAAGGGCTAGATTTTGATTTGCATTCTTCTATGTCAAGTCTGCAAACTTGATATGGGAGCATTAATTTATAGATAAAATTTTGAATACAGTATTAGTACTCAAAAGTAAAGCTGTTTTAAAAATTTGAATGGAACTTCTCAGACTCTGCAGTGGCTGTTCAGCTTTGTTACACATCCTACCCCTGTTAAAGGAATAAATGAATATAAATTGATTTTCATGCAGAAAGAGGGGGGTGGGGAAATGCTACCTATGGTCACTATACACAAATTTAGTCTTGTGGAAGAAATCCAACTGCAGTTCACAGAATTTCCTCATTTGTTGGTATTTGATATTTCACTCAGATAAAGTTAAATGTATTGGATGCAGGTTATTTAAATGCAACTACTGGAATACTGTTGGTTTTCATTTGTTATTTTGTTGGTTTGTTTTTGTTGGGCTTTTTTTTATGTTTTTGTTCTTCTGAGAACAAATAGATTAATTCTCTTATTCTTGCTTTCATTATCACTCATTTACAGGATTCCTGAAAGCAAGTTTCTCTTTACTGGCTTTTGTTAATTAGGTCCATTTGTACAAGTGACTGGAGCAGCTCAGGGCTTGAACACATGCTTTGAATTTGCAAATATTTGTTCATTAATAGTCTTTACTAGTAGGTGAGATTATTTTGGGACCTTCCAGCTAGATTTGATTTACCATAGAGAACAATTATCATATATGGTGGGGAAGCAGTAAGGGTTAGTGGAGCCTGGAGGATCTCAGTAATTTTTTAGATTACTTAACTCTCGCTGTCTTGTCTTTGAGGTCTTACCTCATCACCACCATCCTCCGTCACCAGAGTTGAGGAGAGTGATTTTCTTCTCTGCCACTTCATAAAAGGAAATACTTTACCCTGCTGAAATGTTTAATTTTTTTAAGAGGTTGACTGGCAAGACACATTGCCTTAATTTCATCTCTGCTTTAGCTGCAACACTGAGCCCTTGAAGGCCTACCAGTAAACCCCGCTGAGCTAGCTTTTTTGCAGCCACACTGACCTTCTCCTTCCTAGAAATCCAATCAGGGCTTTGGATAGGGTAGAGTGAAGCCTTGAGCAGTTATCCTGCTTCTGTTTGTGATTGTTTGCTGCAGGTGATCATCCTCTATGTAGCATTCCAATAGAAAACATTCTTGCTGTGGAAAAATTGGAGGAGGAGTCCTTTAAAATGAAAAACGTAAGTAGGTCATATTCATTTTTCATTTATTTAATTTCTCTGGGTACTATGCCACCACCAAATCAACTTTTTCCTTTTTGTAACCAGTGTTGGATTTCCACTGAAAGATGTACAACTACAGCTGCATGGTCTGTATATAGTAGCATGGATTTCCAAAAGTACTGCCCATTCAGATTCTTAATGGAGCCTTGTCAGCATTACTGGGGTTTAGTTATCTGCGGCACCCACTGCAATCTAAGCTGTGTAGTTTGGTGTAGCGAAGACACCTTACTGTCTGCCCTTCTGCCAGTCTAGCACCTGAGACATGGGAAGAATTAACGACTTAAATATTTGAAGGAACATGTGATCTTGCAATAATCTACCAGTTAGAATAACTTCTGAAAATACAGAAATTGTGCAGAAGCAACAGGCATAATAGTGCATGTAAGCAAGGAGAGTATTCCCATACCCATACCAACATAACTTTTATAGTACACCAGCATACCGATATGGTATGAAATTTCTGCTGTCTCATATATGGGATGGCCACATTTCTTACAAGAGAGGCTACAGTTTTGCCACAAAAATAATAGAAATCATGAAAATAAAACTCAAGGAGTCTCATGATGCACACTGTCACTCGCACAGAGGGGACAGCATACAGGTTCATGGGATATGTGGTTGAGAGAGAGTTATTGGCCCCTAGATAAGAACAGGGGTGTTAATCCTCCTATCTTTAACCCCCATGAGGCGATACCTCCAAGAGGGAATGATATTCAGTAGGTAACATTTTATCTGTTTCTCTGAATATTGTTTTTTTGCAAGAAATCAAGAAACTTACTAAAAGTAACCGAGACAATTGTAGCCTATACATAAGCAAAGCACTTCGTCCTACATTCATATCTGCCATAGATACTGTCTGGTGTACAGAAAAAAAACCCAGAAATGTGATTTTCAGGAGTGTTGAAACAGGGGCAGCAGAACAGGAAAAAGCCAAGTCAGGTCCTGTGATTCCCATTGTACAGACCTTAGAGGTTTTTAATTCTTCTGTCTCTACTTATTGCCTAAAACAGGCTTTTATACAGAAATTGTCATGGATCTCAGCTTTTAGTATCTCATGGCCCTCCCCATTTCTGCAGTTCCACAGCTTCTGAGACCAAGATGGGTAATGTTCAGGCTTTGACCAGATACTGGACTTTTGTGATGGTATTCTGTCTGAGGGGCCAAGTAAATTGAAGTCCTGCACTTGTCTCAATGGTATTTCCCTGTTTGTAACATGAGAAGCATAACATTTCTCAGTCTGTCTGCCGGTGTTTGTAACAAGATGGAGTAGACTTAAGCTCACCCTCCATGAGGGAATGTCTTCCCTACATAGTTTACTGGACCTCATGAGTTAATCATGAGAAGCCATGCTAAAAAATAATTTCCAAGCTGCACAGAGGGTGTTGGCAGCTGCTGGGTTGAACACAGTTAAACTGCAGCCTTCCCCTGCCTGACAGACCAGCCCATTCAAGTTAAAATCAGATCCATGCTTGAATTAAGGGGGGGTTGTGTGTAGACAGGACTTGAGTTAGGGCCAACACTTGACAAGTAACTCAACTTAACACTGCCATGAAGACAAGCCTTCAATTATGTTGGCTTTGCAAAGCTAATGTGCTGCTTTTTTTTTTCCTAACACAAATACCATCTTGGTCTTTTGAGAACATTGCTTAAAGAGCAACTGCTGTTTGGTGTTTTTTGAGAATGAAAAGGTCTTGCAATCACTTGAAATTCTTGGCTGAACTGCTGGCTTCTCAGTAACAGTTGTCATGTGTTAGTTCACTTAGGACTGGTATCCCATTACGCAACTGCATCTCTCTTAAATCTTTTACTTTGTTGTAATGTACAGGACTCCATTAACCCAAGCAGAGTGTTAGAATTCTCTTTCCTGCAGTTTTTTGCATTGAAGAGGTTCAGCTGCATGCTCTAGATAGTTCTCTGCTTTGTTCCTTTCACCCCAAATTACCAGTTTTATCCTGGGAAGTTTTTAAAAAAGGGATACTACCACATCACCACAGTACTAGTTATTAATCTTGCATCATTTTGACTGAGGTCTGGTAGTAAAATAAAAATACCCAATGCAGAGAAAAAGTCAAAGGCAACTTTCCCTCTCCCTTAATTTAAGTGAAAAGGCCCACTTGTGAATTAGAAAGTATATTCCCACTCGGTTTCCAAGAGCATATACCTTATGGTGTAATAAAGGGAATAAATAGTAATCCTATATACGTTCAGGGGAGCTTACTTTAAAAGACTTCTGTTTTTGATGCTCAGAGGTATTAAATTGAGGACAAAGATTTGTCTGATTGAAATGCATAAAAGTGAATTTATACTTAAAAAAACAAACAAAACAGAGGAGCTGGGGGGTGGAAAGCAATACTAGGAGGCCAGTTGTATCTGCTGAGTGTTATTACTTCTGCATAGTGTAAGGGTTTTTCTTCAAAGCCATGTACAAACAGTGGTGTGCATATTTTAATGGGGGTGGGGAGGACACTCAGGAGGACACAATAGAAAGGAAAACTGGTGACAGCCAGACATTTGGAAAAATTGTGTAATCTACTTTGTTTTGCCTTTCCAGTGCTACAGTTAAATCATTACCTTCTACCACAATTAATCCTTCGCAAATTAGCAGGTGTCAGTTAATCAGGTGAAGGGAAATGCTTTGACACTTTGCCTTTGGAAGAGGCCAGAGGGGCATAAAAACAATTGAAACACTGACTTTGATTCTTAGATTATAAGCTATTTGGGGCAGGGACTGTTCATCTATCACCATGGGTACCCAGGCTTGATTAATCTAAGCATTAAAATACTACAAGTGCTTAATAATTTGTGCAACTAATCCACCACTAAGTAGGCACAGAAAACACAGTTGCTATTTCTTTCTTGTTATTTTTAGAAGCTACATTTGTTAGGCATGGATGGTTATAAAAAGAAAATCCAAACAAAGCGTGTGATGAAATAATGTATGATAGCATTAAAGCAAATTTGTCAGGAAGGCTGGTCCAAACATGACCTCTCCATCCTCCCTTGAACAGCATTTCCTTTCAGCACTCCATGTGTTTTCTGTCAGGCTTCCAAAAGCTGGAGCTTGCAGCCTTATTAAAATAGCATCTCCAAGGCCATCTGCAAAGCCCACTTGGAGCCCAACAAGCAAGTTAATTTTAGTAGTTTGTATATGGTCTCCTGCAGGAACAGGACTAGCCTGTTGCGTGCAGTGCTAAGCTTTGTTGTTTAACCTAAAGATGTAATCTGACAATACACAGATCCGCATGTGTTTAATAGGACTTGGTGCTGCTTTGGGATTTGTCCTGTAACCTAAAAAAAGAAATCCTTTGCATGTTCCTCAGTAAATATGCTAACTGGTACACTACACCTTTTGGTACACTGGAAGTTTATACCATTAAAAAACTTTTTCCTTTACTGGCTGGTCTTCTAAATTGGCTGTTGTGTTCAGTTAAAACAAGCTGATAATTCAGTCTGTGGCTTGCTTCCTTTTTTCAGATGTTCCAAGTGATTCAGCCTGAAAGAGTCCTGTACATTCAGGCAAATAACTGTGTTGAGGCCAAGGACTGGATCGATATCCTTACCAAAGTTAGCCAGTGCAACAAGAAACGTCTCACAGTTTATCACCCTTCTGCATACCTCAATGGGCACTGGCTGTGCTGTAAGGCTACTGCAGATAATGCTCCTGGCTGTACCCCTTGCACTGGGTAAGGACTGGTCAAATGCTGCTTGTTTGGTTTTGGACAGTAAAAAACTTGTCACACGCCAACCAAATCATTGTCTTCTCATTCCTAACTCAATTGCTCTCTACAGATCCTGGCCAAAATTATCTGTTTTCTCGGGCATGGGGCAGCAATAGCAGTCTAGCAGTACAGGACGCTGTATTGTATGTTTGAATTGTAGGCAGTTTTAATACTTAAGATTTGGGGTTCACATTCAGACAGACTTCTTTCTGATACTTGCTTGCAAATTTATTTAGACAGAAGATAGCAACCTTTTACTTCTGTCTAGACTTGCATTTCAAGCTAAGTTCAAATTGATTGTGACTGAATATCATTCCTGCTTGTAGGGCTTTCCATAGGCTGTATGGAGACAGTTGAGGGTCTCAGTTTAGTTCCTAAAGGAGAGCTGTCATCCTCACAGATCCAACAGATCAGTAGCTGTTGGCCCTAGAAGCCAGGATTTGAACAGAGACTTAGCTATCTTCTCAGTCTGTCTCACTGTTTCAATAAAGTGACCTGTGCTCTTACCAAGTCTTCTCTTCTTAGTCCAATGTAAGGTGTACTGAATAGGCAGTGCAAAGGGAATTTGAACTGTCATCAGTCAGGCAGGTCTGTGTTAGGAAGTTTTACAAGCTCCAGGACACTCAGCCAAGCACCTTTTTGATGAATTCTCATTTTTGAACCTGGGAGTGATGCATGCTTTCAGGCTTGTTAAGTTTGAAGTGTTGCTTTTATGCTGTGAAACAAGACATTTTAAACTAGTCTTGAACCATCCTGTTTCTATCCTTTTTTATAGTGGCCTACCAGCGAATATACAGCTAGACATAGATGGAGATCGAGAAACTGAACGCATCTACTCCCTCTTCAACTTGTATATGCCAAAATTGGAGAAAATGCAAGGTGGGGACAAAATAAGAAAATGACTTAGTTTGAGTTACTTTATGCTTCAGATGAATCTAGACCAGCTCCACAGACATACATTTGTGTACCAGTGTGTCGTCATTCATTAACTGTCTTCAGGCAACAGAAGAAGTTGTGAGAATTATTTTTGGTGCACAGTGCAAGCTCATAATCTGTATAAAAGTTATTTGCACATATTAAACAGTTGTTTGAGGTAGGGTCTCAACCACAGAATCCTAAAATAGTTGAAGAGCATAGTTTGCATGCTCTGAATTGACAAGTTAAAGTGTGCATTAACTAGAAGTTTACTGATCCTGTAAAGCAGCAGTGGTCAAGCTGAGATTTCAGCGGGAACAAGGTTTTGTATTACTAGAAACCATGTGCATGCCTCCGATTCAATTCCAAACAGCATGCTGGATTCAAACAGTTTCTTTCCCTTAGCTGCTTCACGTGCATCAGTGAAACCTGAGCCCGTGAATGTTTAAAAATGAAAAGCAAAATGGGGCTGGAAAACTGGAAAATGCATGCTAGTGTAGGGTGGAGGGGAGATATGAAGGTGGAGATATGCAGAGTTAGTGATATATAGCAGTGTAGATATATAATGATGGAGATATTCAGAGCTGGAGATATTCAGACTGGTAGATATAGAGAGCTGTAGA